AAAAAAAAAGGTTTCTAAGGCTTATGTATCGGTCAAATCGAAGCTTCAACATGCCACCCCGCCCCCCCCCTCCCCAGGCATACCCCGGGCATTTGACACCTTTGCCGTCCCGGGGAGGAGGGAATTTGATTATCAGAGTCTTCCAGGGGGTGGGGAATTTGAACTGAACCCTCGATTTCATGTGAAATCTCTGGCGTGGCGAGCTATCATGGGGGAGGCGGTGTTAGAGGATTTTCGTGGAAAAGATTGTACCTTTGTGACCAATTGGTTACGAGGAGAGGGCTTAAACAAGCTTTGTGCCGTGTTTGAAGGTATTTAAATTTTAATATTTTTAATATCGGATTCAGGCTTTGAATGTATGAATGTAATAAGTTGTGTTTACAATGAAATACAATGCCTATACCGGCGAAACCTGCCGCATGTATGTCAATTCATGATAAGGTGAGCGATGATGCATGTCAGTGAAATGGTCATGATGTAGTAATCTCAATAGGTGGGAGTTGCATGACACACGAAGAAAGGCTGAGCATTCAGTGACCTTGTAGCAGCGATTTCCGCCGCTTTGTACGAGACTTTTGTTCGTAGTAAATACGCTAGCAGTGTTTCTCAGTTTTTGAATGCGAATTATTTGCTGTATTTATAAAGATTTTGTTCGACAACTGAAGGCGTCTCTGCCGTCCTTCTGTCATTTATGTCCCTGTGAAAGGTCCCCGGGGTAGGGGTATTTGATCACCTGAATGGAGCCTAGTGCGGGGCATTTGAACAGCATTTAGGCCCGGGTAGGGGGGAATTTGAACAATAATTTTCGAAAAAGTCAAATGCCCGGGGGGTAACCCGGGAGGGGGATGCTGAAGCTTCGATTTGACCGATACATTACTTTTGGGCAGGTAAAATGAACTGTTTGTAAAAAGAGAAAGAGAAATACTAGCGAAAAATTCCAGCTTTTAGTTAAATCTTTTCTTATGGTTTAAAATAAACTATTCCCGAAACTGAGGCCTGGTTCAGACGCCGTAATTTTCATGTGCCGAATCTAACTGAATAAGTTCGACTTTGGAGCGACGCTGGCGCGACATCTGTTTCAGACGGCGTACCGTGTGTCGAACCTAAGTTAAGTTCGACAAAAGTTCGACAGACTCTGTCGAACTTAACGCATTTACCGCACCAAACTAAAACTGCCGTACCAAATTGATTCAGACGCCGCTCTTTTGCCGTACTTAATTCATCAGTTAGGTTCGGCACATGAGTGGAGCGGCGTCTGAACCGGGCCTGAGAATGTTTTACGATCAAAGCTGTATAAATCGAACTGAAACCGAGTGCATGGAACCTTTCGTTTCCTGTTTTTACTCTCACCTATTGTATTAGCCTCCTACGCACCCAGGCGTTTTTGCAGAGCTCGCTTTCATAAACGCCTGCGTGGGAGGCTATTATTGTATAGAATATGTGTGAAAATCTTCATTATGAATTGGTATATTTCAAAGAGCTAAACAAGAGCACACAACGACTAAGAATACAATTGACCGAAAATATACAGAGCAGGGGCAGCTGAAGTGTCAACTATTACCAACTTATTAATAAACTATAATTAGTTATCTGATACCAAACAGAGTCGACCGTTATGTCTTGTAAAATCTGCGGTCGACTCCCGTTGAACTCGAACTCTCGCTAACTCGAACCAAAATCGATTTCCTCTGGATTTCCTTCATACATTTACGATAATTTTACCCTCCGTCGGTAAACCCTCGATGACTCGAATCTCCCGTTCTAACCGTATTCATGTCTTGTTAAAATCTGTGGTCGACTCCCGATACACTCTTTCTTTTTTACAAGAATGTTGTTTTTTTCTGGCCCAGGCTGAATATTCTTATTTTTCTGTTGATTTTAGACGGAAAATATTCTTGTGTTATTCTTAAATTGAAGCTTACTTCATTTTTGCTTTAGCATGTATTGGGGTATCAATGTACTGTTCATCCAACTGTTATCAGCATTGAACGTTTGGTTTTAGTTAGCGCAGTTTTTTTTTTAAAGTTTGCTTGCTAGTTTTCCCTTTTAGAGAAAGGAATAATTATATCAGTTAAGTTAAAAACATATAATTGTATTGTTTTGTAATTGTATTATAATTATAGATTTTCAACACACAAAATTACGTCCCATTGAAAATCTAAGCCTTGGGTTTATTCTTATAACATTCTTAAAATTTCGCGGATTTCAGCCTCTATATTCTTTTAAAATATATTCTTATAAAAAAGAAAGAGTCGAACCCTCGCTAACTCGAACCAAAATCGATTTCCGCGGATTTCCTCCGTACGTTCACTATAATTTAACCCTCGGTAACACAAACCCTCGATAACTCGAACCTCCCGTTAACTCGAAGTAATTTTCGTTTCCCTTTAGATCAATTGTATATATGTTATAAATTTACCCCAGCTCGATAACTCGAACAATGCTTTAAGCGCCTGACAAGTCGGGAAAAACGTGTATTGCAGTCCGACAAATTGAAATTATTTTGTCTTATAGTCTTTCCTTTTTTTTCAGTCCAGTTCAATTAATACGGTGTCCAACACTGTGTATTTATAAAGCTTTGAAGTGTGCATTTTTCATTCATTCCCCACATGCATCCCATTCAGTATTTGCAGTTGTTAATGGTCCGAACTCCCGAAAACTCGAACTCCTGCTAACTGGAACTTTTTTCGATTTCCCTAGAAGGTTCGAGTTAATTATCGGGAATCGCCTGTATTGCTTTTTTTTTCATCTTGTTATACTAATAAGATGTTCCGAAATAGACTTCCTGCTTTTTGGCTCCTGGGGCAGTTTCACAACTCCTGGTTCATCGACATGAAGTGCAGTAAAGCGTGTTAAAACTTGGGAGATAAGAGCGTTTTCCCACTCTTTTATTTCGGTACAAAAAGTGTAATAATTCTACAGCGTAACTGCAAATTAATAAAGAGAATCAAATATCTTTTGTCATTGAACACATGTTGAGGCATTACGCTCTTTTTATATATCCATGAAAAGAATAAAAGGATCCTGACAACCCGACGAGTGCATGAAAATAACAGTATCATGTGATATTCATGCAAGACAAAGTTGTTTCGTATTTCTGTTTTATATGGTTCAGTTTAGAAATAAAATTGCTATGCGAAGGAAAATTCCAATGATGACGAAACATTGGTTCAGTTGATCTGAAACATGTGAAAAGAAAAGATTTTTTTGGATTATGTGTTTCATTTTCTTTTGTAAATTATTCCGTTTTAAAAGAAACAAACTGAAGGTCAAAGCAATTCTTTTTAGTTCTCGGCAGTTCATTCAATGAAGAATTTGGGTTTATAATTCGCTTTTTTAAAAAATTTTGTGACTGCCCGGCGACACTAAAAGGCAAAACATCTTTAGACAAGTAACCCATAGATTTTTCATAAAACGAAAATAATTTCGTCAGCCGTATTTACAAACAAAATTTATTCTGGCGTTTTCTGAGGACAGCAGTCGACTTTTCTTTTAGTCTTATCCTTCATTTCAATGAGGGTGATCTACAGCTGTAAACATGTTTGATATTTGGGGAAGTGTAA